ACGCCTTTGACCTGGGGCAGGAAGAAAATTAACACCCTGCGAACCCTGCTATGGACCACACTTTGTCAGTAAAGGCTCTCAGAAACACATTAAAGCCTTTCAACAACAAAATAGCTATCAGTCTCTCCATTTTACAACTGGGAAAACAGATTAATCTGCCCAAGGTTGCAAAGCTATTTAATAGACAGTGCATTTGATAAAGAAATCGTGTATTCAGGACCCAGAATCCAGAGGAGAATTGAAGAATCGAAGAAGAATCGGCAGAAGCATTTTTAGTCAGGGGAAACCCCACCTCATGCAGGGATAGTTGATACTAGGAAGACTCAATACCTGCTTTTGTTACTGCAAATAGTAGTAAACACATAAGTAATGCACTATTAGTTGTCAACCAAACGTAATCCTCTCGCTCAATACGGAAGACTGGTGGACTAAGGAATAAAATAAATGGTATCTTGGATTTTACATTATTATTTTGCTCGAAGTGCTCAATGCATTTTCCTTCCCACAATCACACTTATGATTGGAATGATGAGGTCAAGCACTAAAGGAGGAAGACTTTTAGTGGAGATGGTAAAATGTCAAGTCTCCAAGGTTAGATCCCACCAAGGGAATAAAATGAACCTACTAAGACTTTTTATTAAAGATAATTTGCCAGTTAACCCCATGGCCCAGATTTATATATGAACTGTGTAAACTGTTGCCTACACTTACCCTTGGAAGCAGCATGGGGCTGTAAAAAGAGGATTAGACTGGGAGTCATATACTACATAGGAAGAGTCTAAACCCTGGCTTCCCCACCAGATGTTCAACATTAGGAAAATTACTAAACCCTTCTCAGACTCTCACAATTAAAAAAAAAAAAAAGAGTTAATAATACCTACCTAACAGGTTTATTGCAAAGATAATTTTTTTAAAAAAGGCAACTGTTCATATTTTTCCTATGATCTCATTAAGAGAGAGAAGTAAAAATTCCTTATTTCCAATAACATCTTCATGATACAAGAAATTTTGATTAGTTCCTTAGGGATTGCCTTTTTTCCAGTAGTCCCCAGTTAAAATGCAAATATCCTTGGGGAAAGGGCAATCTCTAAATCTGAATTAGTTTGCCACATTGGCTTTAACAGGCTCCTGTAGAAACAGAATACACAAAACTGATACATTTAATGATTAGGAAGAAGGAAGGGAAGTATGGAATGTGTGATATCATGTTATGGCTAGGAAAATATAATACTGTACTGGGAATTGGTTTATTTTCTAGTTTTGGCTCTGCCACTGGGTGGATGAAGCATTCCATATCTTTTATCCCTCCTTGGATCTAGGGATTGAATCAGTGTGCAAACACTGCTATGGAAACACTGAGCCCCAGCAACTCTGGAGGCTGAGGCAGGAGGATCACAGGTTCAAAGCCAGCCTCAGCAATTTAGCTAGGCCCTAAACAATTTAGCAAGACCCTGTCTCAAAATAAAAAATAAAAAGGGCTGGGGGATAGCCCAGAGGTTAAGCACCCTTGAGGTAACAGGGGTTCACTTGATCCTTTGATTATATCCCTTGTGACTATGCAACTTACATGGTTTTTTTTCTTTTTCCCCAATTTTCTTTTCTCTAGCCTTCTCCTTCCTGATCTCCTCTCATATTCTTTTCCCTAAATTTCTCCTCCTTGATCTTCTCCTTCCTGATCTCTCCCCAATCTCATTTTCTCTGAATCACCTCTATAAAATCCCCTGTTCCTGCTGAGGAGCAGAATCATAGCCTTTGGGACAGGAATCTCTTGTGTACCTCCTTTGCTAGCAAAGCAATAAATCTTCCTTTTCCTTTTTCTCAAAATTGTGTTCTTGTTATTGCATTGGCATCAGGGATAAGGACCAAGCCTTCAGCAACACTGGGTTTAATATTAGTACCAAAATATATATATAAATTTAAAAAAATAAGAATTTCTGTTGGTTCTCTGTACTCCACACCATGTACAAACCAAGCCACCCTTGTATATTTCTCAAGTTCAACTGCCACATCTCCCCCATTCTATGTCCCACTGAACTTGTTGCCAAATATGCATTTTTTTCTAGAGCCTATGAGTTTGTACATGCAGTTCTTTTATTTATTTATGCATTGACTTACCCATTTTGGTGCTAGAGATGGAACCCAGGGTCCCAAGTATGATAGGCAGGGCTCTACCATTAAGTTATACCCCCAGGCACCCCCAGCCTCTTCATACCATACGCTGTTCTTTCTGCCTGGAGTGACCTTGTCATCTTTCCTACCCATCTGCTACCGGTCCTTCAATATCATGATGGACAAAGCCCATTTCTTCCTCCAAGCAAAAAGAAGATGCTCTGTTCTATGTGTGTAGTACTAGGGATTGAACCCACAAGTACTCTACCACTGAGCTACATGGAGCTTGAGGTGTAGATTGTCTTATGTGAGGAGGCTCTGGGTTCCATCTTCTGCACCATCAAGAAGTGAAAACAAAGCATCTACTGTTCAGAATGAATATGTTAGTTTCTTCATTATAAAATGGAGTCAATAATACCATCTATCACAAAGGATAGCTGTGAGGATCAAACATATGTTGAAATAAAAAAAAATTAAAACAACAACAAATACATTGGGCCTGGGAGAATAGACCAATGGCAGAACACTTGGCTAGCATGTGTGAAGTTCTGAGTTCCAACCGTGGCACAGCACAAAAAAAAAATAAATAAGAAAGAAAGAAAGGTGTTACAGTTTAAATATGAGGTGTCTCCCAAGAGCTCATGTGTGAGGCAATGCAAAAAAAATTTAGAGGTGAAATGATTGGGTTTTGAGAGCCTTAATCTAATCAATGCATTAATCCACTTGAATGAATTAACTGATGGTGACTGTAGGCAGGTAGGACATGCCTTTAGGATTTATATTTTGTCCCTGGTAAGCGAGAGCTCTCTCTGCTTCCTGATTGACATGTTCTGAGCTGCTTTCCACCATGATGTTCTGCCTCGCCTCAGGTCCAGGGCAAGGGAGTTGGCAATGGAGTTGGGACCTCTGAAACTATGAGCCCCAAATAAACTTTTCCTTCTCAACATTGTTCTTATCAGGTCTTTCAGTCACAGCAGAGAAAAAGCTCATTAAGAAAAAGCATGTGTAAAGTGCTTAGGACAATTCGTGGTACATAGTCACCTTCAATGAATACTGTCTATAATTATTATTATTTGTTTACTTTTTGCAGTGCTGGGGATCAGAACCCAGGGGCTCATGTATCCCAGGTAAGTACTCTATCATTGAACCCCATCTCTAGCCCTTAATATAATTATTCACGCATCAAATATTTATCAGGCTTCCACTACCTGTCTGGCACTGTTTCAGTTGTGGAAACTACATATTTAGACAAGAAAGTTTCTTGCTCAAGGAGCTTCTATTCTAGAGGGGAGAAAATAAATGTGTCAGATAAGTAAAACAAAGAAAAAGAAAGGAACACACAGGGGAAATTGCCATTTTTTTTTATAGGGTGTGTAGTTAGGAAAGTCCTCCCTGATAAGGTGGCATGTGAACAGAGGCTAGAAGGAAGTGAGGAAATAAGTTTTGTATTTATCTGGGGGAAGGATATCCTAAGCAGCTGGGTGGGGTGTGGTGGTGCATCCAATAATCTCAGCACCTTGGGAGGCTGAGGCAGGAGGCTTGTAAATTCAGAGCTGGCCTCAGCATCTTAGTGGTGAGGCTGTCTCAAAACTAAAAAACACAAAAGGGGCTCACTGTTGCTCAGTGGTTAAGCCCACCCAAGGGATTTAAATCTCCGGTACCAAAAAAAAAAAAAAAAAAAGACAACAAATAATACAACTACTTAAGTCAGTCAGTCAATCTGGGATTGTCATAGGGAGTTTGTGGGGTTGATGAAGAAGCCACACTGAAGATATGCCTCAGTTCCAGTCAAGAGTTATTA